AAAGCTGGAGCGAGCCCCTCTTGATGGGCGCAAGTCCCCACAGGCCAAAGAAAAGGCCGGGGGAAAGAAAGGGGGGAGGGTGGGATTAAATGGATGCATGATCTTGGCATAAGGGAATGCCTTTCCCCTAGAAAGGAGCGCGTAGTCGAGGGCTCTTTGTTAATAGGACTAACCGTTTACACCCTTTATTTCTACATTGCATACGTAAAAATAAACATAAATAAAAATGATCATTTCTAACCTACAGGCTGGGCTTGTTTGTCCTTACAGGCCACTTAAATTAGAAAAAAAAAAAAACAAACCCACAACCCATAGTGTTTGTTTTTCTTTTAATTAAAAGAACTCTTCACCTCTTTTAGGACAACTGAGGTTCTGTGGTTTCAATTTTGTAAACTATATATGAAATAGTATCATTGCATTTGTAACCACAGAACTAATTTTATCCTTTCTCATAACCAGGCTTTTTCAATCTCCTAAGTGTTCCTGGGAGATGGAATTCAACCTATGCTCCTTTCCCCAATAACTGGGATTAATATATGCTCCTTTACTTTAACAATTTCCTTAATGATGGAAATCTTCCTTTAATAAGTCTTGTGTAAAAGGCATAATGTATAGTATTGTTTTTCCCACTGTGGCTGTTTTGATTTTTAGGTCAAGAAGATAGTAACTTTTTGGAAGACCTAAGTCTTATAAAATTTAAAATTAAAAGAAAAGGGTGGTCCATACTGTGTAAAAATACAATATATACCATGTTAGCAGATTGGTTATCTGAGGAGATTTCAGCAAGATCTCATGCTTTCATCTCTTTTGTTGTTGGTTTTTTTTTCTGATGACTCTTGAGGCATCATTTCTTAGAGATTAATGTAATGCTGGACAGAAAGTTGTGCTCTTATCATAGCTACAGTTAGGTGGTTTATTTTTTGTATCAAATGATGTAACAGACACTCCATCATACTTCTAGTTTTGCATATATGGACATAGACACTATCTAATTTACTAACTTTAATGCTGTTTCTTCTTGGAATTGTTTTAATGCCTTTTTTTTTTGAGGGTTTTCCAGATACATTAGAATGTGTGTTTATTTACAATACTTTTAGTGTTGTTATTTTTAACCCCCTTAGGTGGGAGAAGGGAATTGATGATGGGTTAAACTAGACAAAAGTCTAAGATACAAAGTCAGCCCTCTCGTACACACACAGAATACTAAAGTGAGTAGAATAAATACTAATCCTTTGACCTCACTTAGCCTGTGTTTAAAAATATTTGTAAGCAATGCTCTACCTTGATACACTGAGGAACAAAACATTTGTGATTAAAATTGTGACAGTAGTACACTTTTTTTAAACCTGTTTATAAAATAAGAAGCTGCTTAAAGAAAAAGTGATTCAACTGTTTGTCAGTGTCTCTTGAAAGAAGTGGATTGTGGTTGGAAGCAACCATTAGGAGTTAATTTGGACATATTCTTTCTTGTCCTTTCCCCTACCATCCCCTTTCTTAGAAGGAAGCCTTCAGATAAAGCTGTAAGGGAAACAATGTTTTTAATTGTTACTAGATCTTGCTACAATGAGACAAATTTTCTTACTGAAAAAAAATATGGTTTTAATAAAATAAAAAACCCTGACCACCTTACTGAATTTACTGAGTTAAACCATCTCCTGCACTCCAGACTTTTGTCTCCTCCTGCTGGTTTTCCTACAGGACTTTATATTGTTAAGGTGAAATTGTTTGTGGTAGTACTTTCTGACCCATCCGTAGACGTAGCAGGATGTTAAAAAAAGCTAGTATTGTTGTGTTGTGGGCTGTTTGTGTTCTCATGGAAAGGGTAGCGGAGAATGCCATCACTGGAGATGCATCACACTGTTGTGTCATCCACCCATGAGATGACTGCTAGAGAAGTTTTATTCTACTCAGATTTGGACTTCTCAAAGACTTTAGTATGAATTTTGCATACTCATTGGTGAAATACTGATTTCCCAGTTACACTCTTCTCAGGGAGTTGGGGGGCTGTCAGGATGTTTTATACCTTTTAAGATCAGTTATGGGTACCATTTCTGTGTACTTCCTTATAACTTTTCTCCCTCTAATCTTCCTATATGAAAACAGGATTTCTTTAATTGAAATTATTAAATGGTGAAGCAAACTATGTAAAACTCTCCATTTATTTCAAGCCATCTGACCTCACATTCTCTTAACTTTTAAGATTTCCAATACTGTATTCTGGAAATGTATTTCTTCCTCCTGATAGTTTCTGTGTTTCTCCTCCTATTCTCAAAGCTCAGTCTTAAATGGATGATGGTACTTTGTATGCTGGAAAATTATATACTTTTAAATTGCTTTGCTTCCCATGATGCCCTTACTAGGTCTTGTATGCCTCCAGATTTTCATTTTATTCTCAGTACAGCTTCATCCGTGTGTACCTAATTTCTAATGCTAAGCTGGAATTTAGAAAGCATCCATTTGCTGCTCCAGTTTTTCTCTACTCTGGAAGCAGTGGAGAGTGCTTGTGGGGTCATCTTCAGCCAGCCTCGTTTTCTGAGTTGTATTGGCAGAGGAGTGCAGCAGCTGAAGTACAGAAACCCCTTCCTAAGTGGCTTGTGTGGGGGGTTTGGGCAGGGAGAGACTTGTTGTGTCTGAGATGTAAGGAAAAGAAAGACTATGAGCTACAACTCTACTCTTCTAACATGTTTTGGTTAACTTGTTGCCTGGTATTTCCAGCCACTGTCCATTGTAAGAATGAATCTTGCAGATAAAGATCCTGTTGCCCTTGAGATACAACACAGCCCTTGTGTATGTGGGAGGGGGGAGTGCTGCTCGCTTGACTACTTGGGGCACAAAGGACAAGAAGCAGTTCTCATGAAGGTAGATCATGGTCCTGCATATGGAGATAGAGGGATCCCTGTACTCTAGCTATGGACATCTTGTGTTGAGGACAGGATGCTTTCCTTCAAGCAGAGTCCTACCTGTATGCATCCCATACTTCCTTTGTCATCTTTGCTTTCCTTTTGGAAGTGTGAAGGTGCCATCTGAAGGAAAACTCTGATTCCTGCTGGAGAAACAGCACTGCTTCGAAAAGGGGTGTTCTGGTGGGAGTTGTTTGTTAGTTGTGGGAGGGTCACAATGTACATGATCTCCTGCAGGCACAAATGACAGGACCCTGAAATTGTGTTTTACTTTAGTATTTGAATATTCAGTACCTGATAATGTGTGTCATATCTATTTATCTGCAGGTGTCTCTAGTAGTTTTTTGGGAGGAAAAACTGAGGATATACTCATGTTAATTTTAGTCTTTTTTTGCTCACAGCCTGAAAATCTGATGTGTTGTCTGGTGGTCCTGTTTTCTGCTCACTCTTAGAGTGGAGCACAGGGTGGGGGTCATCTGCTTGTGACAAAAGCTGAGTGGACAAGAAAAGTAATATGCCTGTAACGTGTTTGCATTTCTCTTCATGAAATAGTGTATTCCTAATGACTAAAAATGGCATGCTTTTTTTTGTTGTTCTAAAGTAGAATATTATATGAAGGCATTTGTTCTTGTATACCAAAACCTTTTCAGAGTTTAGCACTGCTTATGTCTTGAAACTGGTGCTTTATGAATGTGTGTACATTTTTAACTTGTTACAGAGTTTATGGTGCATTTAGATTATCTGTCTTACACATCTCATTTTGGAAGATGCACAAGTTCTCACAAGTTCTTTTAGCTTTCCTAATTAACTGGTTTTCAAACTCACAGTCATAATGGATCTAAAGATTGCAAAGATGATAGCAAATACAATACACTGCCAAGCTAAAGAGGGAAGAGCAACAAAACATAGTGCGTAATTAGAAAGTGCTAAGTTGTTCTTTTTTTCCAAAGCATTGATTTGTTTTGTTCCCTTCAACAAGATGTAGAACCTGAATATAGAGTGTGGCAGCTTAAAATGGTGTGGAAAGCTATTTGTTTCACTGAATAAAAAAAAATATTAAAAAATCTGTCCTTCTCCAAAAGGATGCAAGGAAAGTTCCTCTGAGGGTGATTCTTCAAGGAATTCATGACACATGAATATACACTGACATGAGTGTAAATGCTTCAATTGTTGAGCAATATCTTAGCAAGACAAACTTGTAAACAAATAGATTACAGGAAGCTTTATGTTCCAGCAAATATATTAAAATATTCATGAAAAGTAACTATTAGTTAATGCTTTTCCAGTATTGGGGAAATTTCTTTTCTTTTACAGTGTGTTTTTAAAAATCAAAGACTCTGTGATTTAGTGCTTTGTACAAAGTTGCATCAGCATTGCAAAAATTGCTCTATCCTCCTGATAGTTTAGGTAACTTGGACTGCTTCCCTTGCTACATTGAGGTGAAGGTGAAACACAAACACACACACACACACAAAATACACCAAACCCCAACCCCAGCAAAACCACCACCAACAACAAAAGATACTTTTTCTAAGGCTACACAATTTGGTTGGCTATGAATATCATAATTACGTGGCTATGAACATCAAAACAAAGAGAGGGTTGAACAGAATTGTTTCTGGCGTAGTTGTTAGTATAGTTTCCTTTATGAGGAGAACAGGGATAGTGGCTATATTCTACCCCTATCTCATTTTTGTTGTTGCTGTTTTAAAGAAGCCTAACTTCACACAATTGATCCTGATACTCCTATGATAATGATAAATGTTAGAGTACTAACAGACAATCCTAAGTTCTGGAGGAATGTTCCAACACAAGTATCTCTAAATTTTGCATCCATGCCGACTTTAGCAATGCACTTTAATGTACCAGTTGTGGTAACCAGGATCCTGTCTAATACCCAGTTATGATTGAACCTCATGAGAGTAGTGTTCAAATTTAGCCATTTGATTTATTAAGGAAATAATATGGCATTAATGATTTATTTATTCCCCTCCCCTTAGTAGCTGGGCTGGACTTCTTAATATGTTTGACTTACTGTCCCATGAATAGTTGTTTTCTAGATCATATTTATAAATACTGAGACTGACTTGTTTTCTTACAGGTGCCACGAAATATACTGATAAAGATAATGGAGGGATGCTTGTATGGTCTCCATATCATAATATTCCAGATGCTAAGTGTAAGTCCTTCCCTGCTTAGGAATTGGGATGTTTAAGTATAAATAAATAATTGTTTCTGTTGTGCCTGTTTGCTCTTTATTTTATATACAGTGTAACTGTAAATTAGTAAATTGAACGCAAAGCTTTACTTTTATCTCTTCTTTTTATTATTTAGAGAACTCTGGGGAAAGGAAAGATCACCTTCTCTTATTTTATAGTTAAGTCTTTGTTTCAAATCACACTGCCTGTGTTGTATTGTCATCAGTGTCTGTGAAACTTTCAGCTATTAATAAAATAAAACATCTAAACGTGAGGAACTTGCTGCTGTAAATTTCTAGGAGCCAGGAGCTGCAGTGGATAAACTTAGAAAAGATGTGTTGAGGCCCAGCTCAAGGGGAAATTATTATTGCTGTCTTATCAGGAAAAAAAAAAGAACATTTTCTCCCTTCAAAAGTGACCTAAAATGCAGGAGTCATGTGACTAAATGTGATCAATTATCTTTTTAATATAGTTTAAACCTCCTTTCTATGCTAGATTTTCACATATATAATATCGGGGAGTAAACTTTGAGGTTGCAGTCATGAGAACCTGGTCCTCAGGTTACAGTAGTTAGGGGTTTGTGTCCCTCTCCATTTGAGGGAACACACCTTCTGCTACTGCAAAACAGTTAGAAATAAATTCCTCTACAAAAATGATTATTAAACACTTTCTTCATTCCTTTGGAGTACAATTAACTCTTTTCTGCAGCAGTTCACGGCAAGGACATCTTTGGCCATTTGAATAATGAGGATATAATTACTTCCTTTTCTCAATCATGCTTCCTTTCAACTATACATAATTACTACTTAATTGTGAACTGTAGAAGGTGAATGAAAATAGTTTGCTTTTTAAAAATGAAACTATTCCCTGAATATCAAAACTAGCAGGACTTAATTGCAAGATGATAGAAAGTGTTCAACTTGAAGCTGGCTCTAGAATGGCCAAATATGATTTTTAAAAATGTTATTGGCTAATTTGATGACGTAATTATTGAATTTCCGTATTCTCTATTGAAAACTGACTTAATGCCATGGTTAAAGTTGATGTTGGTCAGTGAAAACTGTATTAATATAAAGGACATGTATAATCATTGATCTCTTACATTCATTTTTAACGTTTGGGAATATGAATGGTAAAAGTAGTTCAATTTAAAAGTAACCCAGGTGTCTGGACACCCCCTCAGTGTGTCTGTGTTCTTAGGAGCAGCTTCTAAGAAGATGTAGCCTTTGACTGACCAGCTAGTCTCTGATTTAAATAAATAAATTAGGAGCCTCTGTGGCTTTGTGGTAAAAACGTGAAGTAAAGCATCTTTTTCACTGAGAAATAGCTTGTGTTAAAAGTTTATAAAATAAAATGTTGGATGAAAGGTGATGGGCTTCTTTGTTATTAATAAAACTACGAATATATTTAGTGTTTTGGTAGACCTGGGCCTGTGCAGTGTAGTAAAGCATGGGAAGACTGTTTTCCCATGTTAGATGGCTGATTCTGTGTCACCTTGTAGCAGAACTATAAGTACTAAAGAATAATTCTGACATTGCTTTGTTACAGTGGATGAATATATAGCAATAGCAAAGGAAAAACATGGATACAATGTGGAACAGGTAAGTGCTATGAAATTAAAGTCCTCATTTAAAGGATATGTAAAAGTATAACAAAACTTTTTTTTTTCCCCCCACCCCCTTGGTTACCATTAATTCAGGCTGTTTCTCTTCAGGCACGGCAGCAAACACTGCAGTTAAATGGATCTGCATACAGTTGTGGTCTGGATTCTCTGCAAAAGATTGAGCTCTTTGTTTTCATGACATGCTCAGCTTGTAATGTGCACTTTTGAAAGGTTTGGTATGTTTCTTGATACACTGGGCATGTCATGCAATTGTGTGTGTATATTTAGCTGAAGAATTTCTTAGGAAGGCAGCTCACAAATTGAATGTTTAATATTAGAATTCAGATACAGTAGAATTTTGAACCATTAATTGCAATAGGGACAGCACTGGCAAGGTTTCTTGCATATTAAAAGAGAAAAAAAAAGAGGCAAACCAACTTTAAAGTGAGTGTTTTTTCAGAGGCAGGAAAAGAGAATCAAATTCTAGGTCTGACAGTAACAAAGAAGTTCACTTTTTTAAATAACCTTTAGTCACCATCCTGTAAAAAACACAGAATAAAGCTTTGCTGCTCTGCACTTATTTCTATTGCAATTAACCAATTTATGTAAAATTGATATCTATTACCAAAAAAAAAATATTTGGTGTACAAGTGGAAACAAGTTGTATGATCAAATTTTGGAGGATGGAAGCTCATAACAGCAAAGACTTGCTAGTCAGCTGCTTTGTAAAAAAGAGGCTGCCAATGTTACAATGTTCAGAAAACCTACAGTTTGGTGATTTTTCTTTACGGCTTGGCTTTTGTTAGGGGAGAGAGGGAAATGAAGGATCCCAAAATGTCTTTAAAAGAGACTAATTTTCAAAACAGCTTCTGGTACAAAATATTTGTAGCCTGTCCACAGTGGAATACAAACTATGTTTGCAAGAGGTGCTTATCATTTGCTACTTTAACAAGAAAGGAGGTTTGCTATGAACAGGTTATTAGAAGATGTGAAATCAGAGTTTTGGAGAGTTGATGAACAACTGGTGATCATGTCTGTGCTGTGTGATTGAAACCAAGTGGATTACATTTCCCAATTCCCATGCCAGACTTGGCATCAAATCTGTCATTGACTCTCTGGCAGAAAGTCTTAATCAGTATAGAATTCTTGAAGAGTATCAAGAAATGAAATTACATAAGAAAGTGTATTAATTTCCATCCCTTATTAGGTACACATGATGTGGAAGTAGCTGTGCATTATTTGTGGGTTGAAGAGTTGTAGAAAGACCACTCTCACTTTGAACTTTCAGACTTGAGTTTTGGATGATCCTCTGGCTGCTGAAAAGTATTTTCATTTTCTTTTTTGAGGGGTCTGGTAATAAAGGCCTGAAGATCTAAAAGGAACTCTGTGTGTGATACATGCTCGTAAAGGAAGACAACAGGTCAATTTGAGTCCATCAGCCTAGTTTCTGCTACTTCAGAATTACTGCTGCCATGCCAACCTTAAATTGTCTAGCTTTCTTACCTTTAAAAAAGTACAGATGTGCCCATTCTTCATACCATCTCCAAATAGAATTTTGTAACCTATAGTATATAGCCAATAAAATTGTAAATACATTTTGAGAAGGGCTTCTGATAGTCAAATTTTATTTTAAATGAATTAATTGCCTTTCTTTTACTTACTTGTCTCAATGTTTTAGAAAGTTGACTAAATCCAAAAAGGGACTATTTCTTTTCAAAGGCTCTCGGCATGTTGTTCTGGCATAAACATAATATTGAGAAGTCCCTGGCAGATCTCCCTAACTTCACTCCTTTCCCTGATGAATGGACAGTTGAAGATAAAGTCCTATTTGAACAAGCTTTTAGCTTCCACGGAAAGAGCTTTCACAGGATCCAGCAAATGGTAAAGTGTTACTTTAATCAGAATCATTAAACAGTCCAGATGCACTAAGAAAAAAGGGGCTGTTGGGCTAAAATTACCTGTTGATTTCTGTGTAAAAGCTTCAGGAACAACCTTGAATATAAGATTTAAGTTAATTTCATCATGTCTCTTGGATCTGTAGCTTTTTCAGTCTAAAAAAAAAGCCTCTCCTTCCCCTTCCCCCCTTTTAAAAAATGTATATAAAATACATCACCCCTTTCCACCTTATCCATACATTTAAAATATTTGAGTAAAGGTGGTTGTAAATAGAGCAGAATTATAATATTGGGTGGAATTTTTATTTTAAAAAAGTATTAATATGTTAATGAATTCTTCTAGCTTCCAGACAAAACTATTGCAAGCCTTGTAAAATATTATTATTCTTGGAAAAAAACTCGCTCTAGAACAAGTTTGATGGATCGGCAGGCTCGAAAACTAGCTAATAGAAATAATCAAGGTGACAGGTAAGTTTTATATTCTTAAGCAGCTAACCAGGGACTGATGTTTTTCTAGGTAGAGATGTCAGAATAATTTCCAGCCATTGTTTCAGCATCAAATATATTTTTAGGCAAACCTAGCATTTGTGGTGATGGGTGTGCTTTTAGCAAGGGGTTTGGTACCTGTGCTTTAAGAACTGTATCACTCCAGTCAGTGTGAGTTCTAATAACATACCTAAGCACTTTAATGAATAACTGTAAAAATAAGTGTTTTTAAAAAAAAAGAACTCTGGGAATGTGGTTTAGAAATAATGCTTTATTTGAGAAGTCTAACCCTATATTATTGTGTGGGGAGGAGAGTGTTTTTGTGCATGTGGGGTTTTCTGGGTGGTGGCTTGTTTGGCATTTTTTGTTTGGGTTTTTTTGAACTAGAATGGAACTAAAACTGAAAGATTATCCACAATAAAGAGCTGTAGCAATTAGAATGCCCAAGTACAGTTTTATAACAAAACTTTACATAAAATCTTATTTTAAGAGACTTGGAACCACTATCAGTCAAGGAGAATTAAAGCTCAAAATAGTTTTAAATTGTCTTGGACAGAAGGGAATGACATTCCCCCTAGTTTCTATGAACTTAAATTTGTAATGTACTTAGTATACTTAAGTATTAACTTGTACTTTTAGAAAAGTGATTTCGTATGTTGAATGTATAAGTAACATAATCATATTTGTATTGGAAAGTATGATTGTAGGCATTTTTCCATAGATGTAACTAGAGCAAAAGGGTCTATGTATATATTATTGAAAAGAACTCCTGAAATCTAAAATTCATATGCTTACTTAGTGTCCCTATAGCTGAAAAATCAGTTTGCTTCTAATACAGCATTTTGGGAGGGTTTTTTTTGCAATACCTAGAAATTTTTGTGGTGTTTTTACATTCATTTATTCAGAAGTTATATTGTGTGAATGACTGGGTTGGACTTGGCTAAACTAACTGTTAACTTTTCAACTTTTTCTCTTCCATTTAATTCAGCAGATATTATTTCACTCCCCATCCCCTTCCTCCCCCAAACTGCTAGGTCTTGAGAACTTTGGTGAAAAAGCAGTCCTGTGTTTTCCCATCTTATATTGCCCCGTTTTGCTCCCCGCAGATTTCAGCTAGGGTTTATTCATCTACCTTGTGCAGTGGTTTGAAAATGGATTTATTAAAACTAATGTGACAAATGAAAGGTTATTTCTAGTCTTGGTATAGTTGAAGATGTAAGTGATCATACTGGCACAAGTGGTTGAATTGAAGAAAGGTAACACTGAATTTTTTGGCAGCAGTAGCAGTGCTGCTTAAAGTAATTTTTAAACTACTGTTTAGGATTGCTTGTTTATAATAATTATTAGCATTTAATAAAGGAAATGTGTTTGTAACAGCTTTCTTTTGAAAACTACAAATAACTTTGAGATGCCATGTACCTAGAGTAGATAATTCTGTCTCACCCTGATACTTATTTATATTTAGGGTTAAAAAACAGATAAAATGACCAACTTTTTATAATCTGTCCTCAGTGATGATGACGTAGAAGAAGCTCATCCAATGGATGGAAACGATAGTGATTATGATCCAAAAAAAGAAGCCAAAAAGGAGGTAACAGATAGCTTAACGGTGAATGTCAGTTTGTTTGTTTTTCTGTGAATGTGTTACTGTGAAGAATATGACTTAGTAAAGAGGTTTAGCTTGCAGCCTGCTGAAATTACAGGGGTTATAAGTGATCTTGAGGACTTCTGATTGGAACAAAATTTAATTGTGCATTTTTGCTGTTCTGAGGACAGAAATGCATCTCTCATTACCTTCACTATCATCTGAGAGATCTTCAAGTTTTATAAGAGATGTGTGCTGTCACTGCCTGGTAAAACAACATTCCCCCTGCCTCTGTCTTGTTAATATGATTAGAGTATTTCTTGTTGTGAATCACTGGAATTGAAATGTTTTCTTTGCATTTTAAAATTAGATGACATTTTCCCAAGAATAACTCTTTTTGTTCTTTCAAAGCCACAGTGAGGTTATGCATTTCAACTAATATGTGGCTTTATTGACACGTTTTCTACTAATAAGTGTAGCGAAAAAAAAAATTTGTCTCCTCTAATGAGCACTTACTGTTAGCTTTACAAGTAAGTGCTATGTTTGGAGTATGTTCAAGTTTGGGGTTTTTTGGAGGGTTCTTTTGGTAAACATTAAGTTATTTATGAACAAGGCTAGAAAAACACAGTTAAGTTTGTAAATGTTTGATTATTTCCTTGGTCTGCTTAATGCATTTTTGATTTTCATAAAATGGGACAGTTCATGCTTCTTGAGAACACGAGAGGAGAGGTAGTGCAAAACCTCAATGTTCCTGTGAAGTGGAATCTAGGACTATTAATAAAACTTTGCAGTTCTACTCAAAATTATGTTGAGTAAGAGACTGATGGGTTTAGATTCCATTCTCAGCTTTGCAGTGACCTTCAATGTATTGCTTTACCTAACTGTCTTAGGGTGGGCAGAGGACAATTACAATTACCTCTTCTGTGAAAAAGTTCGATACTTTAAATTTTTTTTAAGACGCCAGGGTATATTTTTTAGAACTTGAAATGGCACAAGGTCTAATAATGAACTTTTAAAATTCATTCTGCTGTTGTAACAATGTCCTTGCACTCTGCTGATTTGAGTTACTGCCTAAGCCACTTCTAAATAAGAGCTATTTTGTTCAATTTATTTTCCTTGGTTACTGTTTGAATCACTATATGCAGTCCAGAATGAAAGTAGTGTGTTCATAGACTTCTAGGAACAGGACAAATAGGTTTGCATTTTCTGATGAGCTATTTGTATTTACGTAAGATAATTTTGTCATCTAATATTTCTGGTAGGTTTTTGCGTACTTTCACTTCCTAAACAAAATATAAACCCAGGAGGCTACTTGAATCCACAGAGTAATGGAAACTTTTTCTGTTAACAGAGAAAATTAAAATAAGCCAAACACTCTAGCTTGGCCAGACAAGAGCTCAAGAGAGTGTTTTCACTTTATCTCCAGATTGAACAGTTAGGAACTGCAATTTCATACTGAAAGAGCAATGCAGAACCAAAAAACAAGTGGTACTAATGGGCCAGAAGTAAACTTAACCTTCCAATTTTTAGATGTCAAAGATGTGAGGCTCTATATCAGCTTTCCAAGGAAGAGCTAATATCTTAAGTGCTTTTAAGATGGCCTCTATGAAATCTATGGACTGGATTAAGATGTTACATTAGCTGGGAAGAGGATGTGGCAAAAGGTCAAGCATAGCAGAGCAAAATGCTGTTTGCTGATCTGTACTAATGCTGCAGAACATAATAATAATGGCTGCTGCAATTTGTTTTCTCTTCACTGTGATCAGATGGCCACCTCCTCTTAACCTGCATGGATGCCAGCAGGGAGGAGCAGTAGGGAGCTGCTTGAAGTAGCAAAAACTCTGAATCCCATCTCTGTTCTGATACTAAGCATTGCTTTGAATTGGAAAATGCTTGCAGGGAAAGTCATTTTTGCTTCTCTACTCCTGGTCTGTAGGGAACCTTCCTGGTTGCTCTATGGGAGTCACATACATGCAGACTAGCTGTTCTGCAGCAATGCCCGTTGAAGACAAAGCTGAAATGTTTAGGTTCCCAAACATATCAAAACAGCAGCTACAGAGACTTAATCACCTCTTTGCTACCCCTTTTCACTTCAAAAAAAGCAAACAACAAAGGCTTAAGTCTACTAACTTACATTGATTTTTATAATGACTGCAAAAGTGCATCCGTCCTCTCTCTCCTAAATTTCAGACCCCCTCCCAAAGCAAATAGAGCTATCGCTTTCCATAGACTGCTTGCAGCAGGGAGAAGGGTCATCCTGCTTTCTTGCCCGCCTTTACTGACTTTATCTCATTCTTCTCCCTTGATTTTCACCTGAGCTCTTCATACCTGACCAGAAATAAATGTATAAATTCACTGATTACTTGGTTTAAACATGTGATATATATATTCTTTACATATTCTTTACCTTCTGCGTACATAAGAGGTTCTTGATTTTTGCCCTTTCACACAGTATTCAGACTGGGATTATTGTACTATCTATTGTATTTTCCACCATGGTAAAAAAAAATTTGAAAACTGACTTCTCTAAGACTAATGCAGGCTTATCCAGTAAATGACTGGTGTGCTCCATCAGCTCATCTGCAAGACTTAGTTCAGATACTACATGCAGAGGAGGATGTTAGTTTAGGCATTCTTTGTCATAAATATGACACTACAACGCTATGTGATACTTTGTTCTTGAATAAAGTTGCATACGAGATACTGTTATTCTTTAATGATTTGTTTCTTGTAAATTAAAGGGCAGTAATGAGCAGCCTGTTCAGACCAGCAAAATAGGTCTGGGTAGAAGAGAATATCAGAGCTTGCAGCATCGCCACCACTCTCAGCGTTCCAAATGCCGTCCACCAAAAGGCATGTACCTGACCCAGGAAGATGTGATAGCTGTTTCCTGTAGTCCCAATGCAGCCAACACAATTCTTAGACAGCTGGATATGGAACTAATCTCATTAAAGCGACAGGTACCATGGGTTATTGGTCTTGTTTTGTTTTCATCTCAGATTGTTCTGATTGTAATGATTTTGAAGATTATCTGTGAAGATTCTGAAACTTCTTTAATGTGAGTCTTCTTAATTTTGTTCCACAGTTATCACCAGAAATGCTGGACACTAGCTGACTTAGCTTTCTTCGGTTTTAAGTTCATCTGCTCTTGTAGATAACATGAAACAAATTAACTTCCTTTTTAAAAAAAAAAAAAAAGAAATGAAAAGGGAGGGGTGGAGGCAAGAGGGGGGAGTGTGGCATGAAAACAATGTTACAGATTTGGGGGTAGGAAAAAGCTGAAGTCACGTTTGATTTGATTTTTTTTTTTTTAACTTTGTTAAAAGTATTTCATGACGAGTGAGAGAGACCAATGAAACAGCGGAAGTTACATTCGTTGTGTTTAAAATTGTAACTGTTTTTCTGGATGACCTTCCCCACATACTATGAAAGCGTAGGTGGGGGGGAAATCACGGGCCCCGTTATTTCTCTGTTTGAATTGATGAGCTTTCTACTTTTTATTAAATTTAGAGAAGATTTTTAATCTTCACCTTTAAGAGGAAAATTGCCTGCATCCTTTGCATGAAGAAATTAACTTTTGGCACTTGAATAGATCCTGTGTTTCAACTTCAGCTTCTAAGGGCACAGCAGTATGTGCATGCTTGCTTTCTAGGAGCCATGGGGCTACAATGTCAAGACTTATCTCCAGGAATTTCTGCCTCCTTATAGGCTGAAACGTATAGCTGCCACGTTGCAAAATCATGGAGTGAACAAAGGGTTTCATGGGGTTTTTGCTCCCTTGTATTCTTTTACAGGATAAATATGCTTCTTTCGGTCACAGCAGGACTCTGGGGCTAAATAGTGTAGGTGGGTTTCACTCTTTAGCCTAAGTGTAGGTGAGTTACAGCCTTGAGGTTGTGTTTCTCTTTTTTTCTTGCAGTGATCTCAGAGATGCAGCCTTTGGAATCTCCTACTGAGTTGTCTGCTTTTGTGTCCAAACTTAAGAAAACTTGTAATAGCTGTGCACCATAGTATGCAAAACTATTTTCTTACCTATGTTACCTTATGTGCATCACTGTCAGGTTTAAACAGTTAATAGATGTGTATATGTATGATTTCGAAGCTCTCTGCTTTTTATAGACTACATTATTTTATTTAAATAATTTAAATCTTTTCAAGAACTACCCTTAAAGGAAATCATGATGATCTAAGATCAATAAAAAACAGTGTGTCAGAAGAAACCAACTGGAAACATCCCATAAATCTTTTTTTTAAAGTGTTTTTTGGAAGAGAAGTTGTTAATATATACAGTACACCTTCCTCAGATTTCTAAGAACCAAGTTTTGTGTCTAGAATATTCTGCATTCTTCTTCAAGAATATATGCATCATTATCAAAACTTGCTTGTTATGTCCTACTTTTAATATTCCTGCAGACAAACTGTTCTTTTGAAAGACTGGCTTAAATATTTTTCTCTCCATAGTAAACTGCTGTGTTTTAATTTTTATTTTTATTTAAAAAAAAAAAAAAAAACAGTTAAAAATAGTGAAGCCTTAAACCATAATATTTCTCTTTCTAACTTAGGAGGTACACTTGTGGCAATCCTAGTGAAGATATATGTGTAAAGTGACCAACTTTCTTTGTGGAGCTGATTAACTTTGTTGTTTTTGACCAAGGTTCAAAATGCTAAGCAAGTAAACAGTGCACTTAAACAGAAAATGGAAGGCGGGATTGAAGAATTCAAACCTCCTGAGGTAAATCAGAATAAATATTAGAACTTGTGGCCTTGCACTTACATTAGCAGGAAGCTACAGAACTGTGTTTAGCTGCAGCGTAGTGTTTGCATTTCAACAGCAGCTTAAACAGGATCCATTGAATTACATGCAGGGGTGAGTCTGGCTGCTTTACAGGAAATTGGTGGTAGGCTTTTTCATGGCAACTGGCTGAATAAAGCAGCAGAAAAAAAATGAAATGTCATGTCTGTTCATGACTATAGGGAGCTGAAACCAAGCCCTGATATATGGTCTTTTTTCTGATTAAAAGTAGAATTTAGTGCTAACAATCTACATTATCTTTGTTCTGTGTGAAATCATGACTATATATACATTTGGGCATCTGAAGTGAATGATTTTTTACTCCTGAAGTCCTCTTTTTGCTTGTTTTAAAGGCTTGGATATGAAACATAACTTGAATGTGAAACAGTCTAGACACCAACTCATAATACTTTAGATAAATAGAAATAGAAATTCAAATTGTCTGCATAAAGATCATTAGCTTGTGCATAAGTTATGATATAGCTGATATTAAGAACTGCAATAAAACAGAGGAAAAAACTATTGGTGTAGTTCTAAGCTCAAATCCTTAAATGCTACTTCCTCATCATGAAAGCAATCTTGAACTATATATTTATGGCTTATAAGCAAGAATTTTTTACCTATGTTACAAAATGTAGTGCAAGTAAAACACATTCTGATGCTCAGATATTTTGCAGCTGTTGAAACATTTTAATGATCTTTGTGCCATTCTTCTAATTTTAATAGTCTAATCAGAAAATCAATGCCCGTTGGACCACAGAAGAGCAGCTTCTTGCAGTACAAGGTATGTTAATAGTAGTAGTGACTTGAAATCTGATGCAAAGGATTTGAAGAGGTACTCAGGCTTATATTTGTATTTCCCTCTAATGAAAAGCTGAGTTTTATCTGGTCTTAAAAGAAAGTTACTGGGAAAGCAGCAAAATAGTGAGAATATGTAGGGCATTCATTCAAGCAACATGACACTGGTCTTTCAATTACCCATAATAAATCTTGAAATCTAGGTTTAACAACTGTAGTAGTACCAAAAAGTCCCTTCAATCATCATCTAAATCACCTTACATGAATTTCTCTAAAGTGGAAGACTGAAGTAATAGTTGAAGTAATAAAATTTGAAGGAAAAACTTATTAAGATATCTTCCCCTATTATTAAAATAGGAAAAAGCAAAAGTAAAATTGTTTTACAGTTACTTTACTTTTCTCTGTTTATGAGGGAATAAAAGAGCAGATATCTACCAGTGCATGCCTTTTAAGAGTTTGTATCTTGATATGGATACTTGACTAACAGTCTTATTGGAGAAAAAAACACATTATCTAGGAGGCTACTGATAGAGCTAATTTGAATTTGTTTCATTTATTTGAAGGAAAACTGACTCTTGTCTTCCTTTAACATGCACTGCCTAATCAAGGAACATGCAAGGGAAATATCTGGAGAGCCTAACACTGTCTTGAAGACACTATGTATTGACTCACTTCTGTGATCATCTTTTTTAAAATAATATAATCACCTCAGTTAAGCACCTCTGCATTATTTTTCTTTATTCTTCACCTTTAAAATGAAAGACTGAATTTTAGTATAAAGCCTTCAGTTGGATCAGGATAAAAGTGTGAAGTTGTCAGGTGTGCCATACCTTGTAGCTATTAGCCAAATGACTGAATGTAAAGTTAGGTTTATTTAAAGTGTGAATGGAAATACTGAAGAGCATGGTGTGTCTCAAGTCATGCCTCTCAATTTATATGCCTCAGACTGGGATTTGCATCTCCAAACCATTTTCTGTCCTAAGTTCATCCTCTCAGAATTGCTACCAAGCTCACTTTTTTTTTTTAATTTTGTTCCCAAATGCAACTGAAAGATGCTTGTCTTTAATACGATAGTCTAGTAAGTAGGTTGCTTGCTGGAGAAGAGGGAAAAAAACAGGTTCATTGTGCCTGCCTTAGCATGGAAGGATTGAAACCCTCTTGCATTTTCATAGTTTAGTTACCAGAGCACTCACTAAGCATCAGTTTGGGAAATAATAAGAATGCATTTAGCTTTTGTTAAGCTATGGCACTATGTGACCAACAAGGTAAATAATAAATCTGGAGCATGGGCAAAAGAGAATGAGGGTTGGTGATGACTCCCTGGAGAGGCGTTGTAGTCTTCTGGTCTCTTCTCTAGGGAACGTATTGTGTTTTATAAAGGTAGTCAACCTCAATACTTAAGGGTGGGTTGAGAAATCAGGTCTTCTGGAAAAAACCTATTTTCATTGAATTTACATGTGCTTCTTATGGAATTGTTTTGGGGTTTTGTTTTTGTTTTTTTTCCCCCTTTGCCACTGGATAAAACGGAGGTGAGAGAACCTTCATGCCAGGAGAAAGTATTATTACATCTCCCTTGCCTACTGCACAGTAGTAGAGTCTCCCTCCTGAAATGAGAGTGCTGTGGGTATTAACCTCCTGTCCCTCAGCCTGAGGACCCTGATCTCTTGCTTCAAAATAATTGCTTGAGCTAGTGGGCTTATGCATGAAGGAGCCACAGTCTTTTGCCCTTGCTCTGTTTTTAGAAGAAAGGAGCTGAGGTTGCTGTACTAAAAGCTACCATAATGCGTGGTAGGCTTGAACCTGGAAGTTGACTTGGGCATGGGGACACTTAGTTTGTATGTTTAAAGTAGATTTATTTCATCAAATGTATTGATACATTTTGGCATGTGCTTTTAATAATTTTACAGAAATCGCAAGCATTAAGCAGGTAGGTGACACTTCTGTGATTTGTTCACTTGAATTCAAATGTTAAATCCAACCATGGAAATAATGAAAATAATCTGCAGCAATATAATGTAATTTTGAAACATGAAAAAACTTGTCTCAGGAGATTGGCAGTAACTAAAGAGGAGGTAATGGAAAAACCCACCTTAAAATAGAGCTGAGTGTATAATCTTAAAAGCAGCATGTCTGCCTGCAATGGGGTTGTGTACTCAGATTTACCATCTCTGAGCTGATCCTTCGCAGTATAATTTATCAGGTTACTATTCAACTTCGAATAGTTATTGAACGTAATGGGCCAGTTCATCGCTTGTGGTGTTCTTAAGTTACAAAATTCATTTATGTATAGAAAAGTATGAGCACCATCACCTTTCCAAACTAAGATCTCAGCCATATGAAAATTGCAATAGCAAAAATGTTTTAAGACTTGTTCAAAACAACAAAATCTGAATTGAAAAGCAGTGTGTGACTTTCATACCATCGCAGTGGGAAACAGCTGGGACAACCACAGTCTAACTCCATGTAAAGTAGTTGCCAGGAGCAGTGTAATCCCATCACAGTAAAACTGCAGCTCTCGTAACCCAGAGGTTGCAACTATCTCTGCCTCTTTGTGGTCCTGTTACTGTATTGCTTTGGACCCAAGCTAATGTTTTGTGTGCCTCTCAGTGTTTGCTGTGTTGCATAACGTTTAGCAGCATCAAATTTGGATTTATGGGTTTCTGTGAGTTAGACAGTCAAGATGAAACACTGCAATAGTGAGCACACACATGTTCAAATGCAGCTTTGCAGCTGGGCAAAATTTTGAAGAGCCTGAAGGATTCCCATGATCAGGGCTACTTTCAAATGAGCCGGGAGAAAAACATCCATATATATGAAGTGAGGCTATGCAGTCATCTTGTTTGAGCTTCACTTTCAGCAGCCTAATAGAATTATTTTTATTGAATAACAGATTCACTGTTAAATAACACTTTAGAAATAATTTGGGTGGTGTTTAGCACAGAATTTATCTAAGGATATATAAGTAGTGTGCACCAATTTGAAAGGGATGATGGACTGGCCTCAACTCTTATAGATATGCCAGCACCTTATGCATGAAACTTTCATAAACATGTATTGAACATCCTCTGTTTCTGATGCACCTTAAATGGATTTTACTACATCATTGTGTAGAAGTCCCCGTGGTGATGCTAGAGCAGTACTAAACAACATCCTGAAAAGAATCCAAAATAAGTAGTGCTGTTGGTAGCTAAACTAGGGAAACTTTATTTTCTTTAGATATTTCTTATAACTGGGCTCTGAGTGAAGGCAAGGCATGCTGTTTTCAAGCTGTTTGCTTGGAAATATGTTTTAACACCTTATTTTTGACAACTTTAGTTGAAGTTAGCCAACAAGCTCTGTTGTTTTGCAGATTAAGGGGGAGGAAGAAGTATAGATAGCATAATAACAGAAAATGCCAAAAATGACTAAAAGTCTGAATTGGGATTCAAACAAAAATGTGCTTTGTTCTGCTGGACACTTTGTTCACTTGATTAATTATACAGCATGTCAGATATGTTGCAGTGGACATGTAATGATCATTGTAAATTAGTAAGGGTGGTAATGGTAGGGCAATCAAAGAATTATTAAGAAGCTGGAAGGAGTGCTCTGTGGGCACCCATGGCTTTTAAGGAGTGTAGCTGACACCTCCTACAACTGATAAAGCACAGAGCCAAATCCCTGTCTCTGCTTTGCCTAGATACTGCCCTCCCACCTGGCGCTGATAGGTCCCTTTGTTTTCTTTCCAAGGTTCTTGCAGTCAGAATGGTTGGATTCTTTTGTATGCCCCAGAAAAGATGTTAAATAATGTAGCTGGGCTCTTGACAGTTGAAACATCAGCTTCGGCTACAGGAATAGTTACTGTCCTGGGATTGAACTTTTCTCTTAAATTGCAGTGAGCGTGCATTACCACATCAGAAGTGCCTATCAATGAAGAAAGTAGAAAAGAGCAGAACAAGCTGAAGGTCATACTCTTCACAATTAAGTTGAAAAGGAACATAGCTTTCAGATTTGAAACAACTCTCACTTTCTGAATCCTTTGCTTCACTTTCTGAAGTGAGGCATTAAATCAGGCATAAATTTCTCCAGTAATGAGACAGCCTGTCCTCTAAGCACTGTAATATGTTCCAAATGAGTTTAGTTATCAGGAGCTTCACAGAAGAAGTCAAATTGTAATTCACTCATGCATAGCTGCAGGCAAAAAATGAGTCTTCTGTTTACTCAGTCTGGAATAAAACTGTTTCATTTCTTTCAGTCTCCAGACTTTTGGGCACTTGTGATTAAAAGTCTACTTTGTGGAGCTAAAAGCTGTGTTCTAGGATGCTAGATGGAGAGTTTGAGGATTTTTTTTCTTAAGTAAGGGAGAGGAGGAACTAGACACATACCCTAAATACAACTGAGAGAAGATCAATAAACTTTAGGTTATAATTCCAATTTTAGGTTAAAAGCTATGGAGTGTTCTAGTCAAGGGGGGATGGAGAGGGTTGTGTTATATGCAAATGTAGTTTTAGAACTTTGAAAAGTACATGTTGGGATTTTCTTGTGAAGGATTTTCTTGCGAAGTGCTTGTAAACAAGTGTGACCTACTGATGTCAATATGAAAATGAACGATGCAAAGATCTTCTGTCATGCTGCTTCTGGCTGGATGATTTGATCCTGGAGGTTTGTGCTGGGCTGTTTTATAAACAGACACCAATAGCTTATATTTACGTTTTCCCATAACCACAGGTTGTTCTACCCTGAACAGCTCGAAAGGTGAATGAAAGCTTTAAAAGACTTTGTCAGGTGAATGCTTGCCAGTTGCTCTTCGTAGCCTCAGTAGAGCATGTCACAAGAGGAGGAATGAGCAGTATGTCGTGACTTATGGAACTGTGCCTCCCCCTGTTCTGCCCTGTGTTTGGTCCCGTAGCTGCTGCCCTCCACTGCTCCTGCTGCACGGGTCGTGGGCAAAGAAACATCTGTGTGCAGCTGGCATGGAGGGAACCCATAGAAGCTGTCAGTGTTTGTCACTTGACTTTTCTAGTGTTATACCCTGTTTACAGCTATACACACATGCTCGGTCACCCTTGAACTTGTCTTGGGCTTCTGCCCTTACTGCAAGCACACCGAAGGTCAGAGGCCAGATCTCTGTGGTTTTAGGTTGGGAGGCTTGGTGAGTAAGCCAGGATCTTTAAGAAGAGCGGGTAATGACCTTTTAATAAAGTTCTTGATTTGTATGTTGATAGCTGTGCAATTAAAAATTATTTTGTTTTAATGGAAACGGAGGCCTTCTCCTAATTGAGAAGTCCTCCTCATTAGCGAGTCCTTGGTTTGCAGGTCCCATAGGCTCTCTCTATAAATACATCACACGTAGCTGTGTCTGACTGATTCTTCACAGCTATGTTATTTACTTTGCCTTCCAGGTGTCCGAAAATATGGTAAAGATTTTCAAGCTATTGCAGATGTAATTGGCAACAAGACTGTTGGCCAAGTGAAGAACTTCTTTGTAAACTACAGGCGTCGGTTTAACTTAGAGGAGGTATTGCAGGAATGGGAAGCGGAACAAGGAACCCTGGCTTCTAATGGTGATGCTTCTGCTTTAGGGGAGGACACAAAAAATACTTCTAATGTGCCATCAGGAAAGAGCACTGATGAAGAAGATGAGGTGTGTTTTGTGTACCAGAAATAAGTAAGCATGGGTTGAGGAACAGCATTTTATTTAGTGATATAATGTAAGGTTAACTGGTGTGGAGTGGCAAACCGCATTCTAAAGAATGATGATGAGCTTGCATAGAACTTCAGCCAATGTCGTTAACCAGCCGGGAGCAGGACTGCACCTTTCATAGTGACGATCACGTTACTGTTTTATCGTTAAAATACAGTTCTTGTTCTAGAAGAAGACTCTTGCTTCCTAAATATTTTTTTAGTTCTGCTGTCTAGAATGTTTTGGTTGGCGATTTCTTTTCAGTAACTTCTCGGTTTTGTTTTTGGTTTTGTTTTTTTTTAAATGCTGTTTTCCTGTGTAGTGGACAGTGGCAGCCCGACCGCACGGCGTGCCGGCCGGGACGGCTCTTCACCCGCTCTTGTCTTTGTCCTTCGTGCAGGCACAAAGCACTCCGGCCACTCAATCTTTAGGCCCTTCGCCTCCAGCGCAGGCCTCTGCCCCGGCACCTACCGCTCCCGTGGCAGCTTTAAACCAGCCGCCCCCGTTACTGCGTCCGGCGCTTCCCGCTGCTCCCGCTCTCCACCGCCAGCCTCCGCCGCTCCAACAGCAGGCGCGATTCATCCAGCCCAGGCCGACCCTAAACCAGCCCCCTCCGCCGCTCATCCGCCCAGCTAATTCCATGCCTCCTCGCCTCAACCCCAGGCCGGTCCTCACCACCGTCAGCGGCCAGCAGCCGCCCTCGCTCATCGGAATCCAGACAGAGTCTCAGTCCACCCTGCACTGAAGAAACAAAGCAGAACTACGCTAACTCCTACATTTACAAAAATAGTATCAATGTACTCTTTTTTTTTCTTTTTTTTTTCCAAAATAATGAAGGGGAGAAAAAGAGCAAGCCTTCACAGGTGTCCGACCAGTTTTACAGAGGAGCAAGCTAATAACTAGGAACAGAACCACGTGAATGACCACCTGTATAAAAAATATTTTTATGTCGAAGACTTGTACAGCAGAACAATGCCTACCATACCGGCCCTCCTCTATATGAATGACTGTTGAAGGAAGCTAACTTCTTAAATGACTAAACGTTCAACACACCAAGATTTTGTTTAACTGATTTTTACTCTATTTATTTTATTACTGTTCTTTGTAGTCAAGCATCTAACTACAGGAAAGTAGTCTGGCAAATCCTAGGAATAGATAATATTGTAGGAGATTTAAATGTAGTGTTGAGTTTTTTTGTGTGTGTGAATTTATTTTTTTGTTTTTTACTTTTTAGTGCAAAAAAATAATGGCCTTAGGTTCAGAATTTTTGGCCCTGTTTAGATAACAGTAGAAGCATTTCATGCACTTGTAAAATGTAGGTGTTTCTTCTCTTCATGTTTTTTCCCAGAACACTTTTTCTTGTTTAAAAAGGTACTGTCTTATTAAATACTCCTCTGAAAGAGTATTCTAAAGACTCAGTGAGCTATTGTACCAAACTTACTAGATCTCACGCGTGTTCTACTCACAGAAGTTACCTGAAAACAGGAGTCCAGTTTCCTGCTGCAATATTTCTTGTGGGCTGGGGTGGAGAGAGAGGCAGCAATTTCCACCACCCAGGGGGATGACAGGAGAGGAAACCATATAGCAAGAACCATTTAATTTAATTTGTTATTCTGCTAATTCTTCTAATTTAAGTACAGTAGAATTTCATCCCTCTGAGAACGGCTGTCTAGAGTTCGTGTATGTGTTAGATCATTGATATCTTGCCTAAGAATTCACAAGGGAAGTAGAGAGGCTGATGGTATTAGTAGAATATTGTGGCAGTAGAGTTACCTGCTGCCAGCCCAGTCTTAGAGTTAAATAATTATCTCTGATTTCTGCTGTTTCTGGCAGAGTTGATTAGCTGAGCTGAGGCTGTTGTGGGGGGTTTTTTGGGTTTTTTTTTATTGACTAAGTAAAATTGCATTTGGGTATTAACTATTGCTTCCAAGTTTTAGGAGACAGAAAGGTTGTCTTTCCACTGCATTCTTGTCCGAAACCTTGATTTATGCCAGCAGTGTTTTAGGGGTGGGTGTGGTTTTTTGGTTTGTTTTTATTTTTTTTTTAAATATAGATGCCTCTATCCCCCAAGTAAACCAGGCTGCAAATTTGAGTAGCACTGTTTGATTGTGCGGTGTGATTGAATCAAGCTATTGAACAATACTGCATTCTTGACCATGTAATAACATTCATGTCGACTGCCATACTATTTAGGAAATTATTTTTGCTTATAGCTGAAATGGTGTTTGAAAATCCTTTTAAATCCGTTTTGTTATTAACTAGAATTGTCCTTGACTAAAATGAGACTTTATTTCTTTTTTTATGTGCAAAGGGAAGTTCTTATAGCATCAGGTCCTACTTCGTTTGTAAATTTAGTATTAAAGTTTGATAGCTGTGGCCTGGATTTGCAGTTAAGGTGTTGACCTTCATTTGAAAATATTTTCAGATCAAGCTTGAGAGATTTTTCTTTCCAGACGGCTTTCCCTGGTGTGCCGAGGTCTCGTACAAAAGGTCCTTCTTACAAATTTTCTTTTGCATCAGAGCAGATGTTTAGCCACTACGTGAACATCAGATGATCTCTCATTTAAGAAAAAGCAGCATTGTAAGGAACACCGAGGAATTCATGGTCACTGAAACTTGTGTTCTGGGAGTCATAAGTATCCCCCCACCAGCTACACACAAATCTGGCTGCTCTCCAGACTTTAAAACCAATACAAAACTGATCTAGTACATTTTGACATCCTAAATATCACAGTTTGTTAACAGTGGTAAGATACATCTTCAGGATTTCTTTTCTTTTTTTCTTCTTTTTTTTTTTCTTTTAGCATTGAGTCTCCCAGGTGTGTGTATTGTACCTTTGCTAATTTTTGTCTTGTCTCTTGTCAATAGACTTCAGTATGCAGAATGTTGGGTGTTGCAGTACAGTTGGCCGCCACCAACTGCTATAAAACTGTTCAGTACATTGTAATTCCGTTTAATCTTGTTTAAGTATTCTATAACTGGGCAAAGGTGCTGTATTTGAAGGGGGGAGGGAGGGTCAGAGATAGGTAGTATTTCTTAATTTACATACACTGTAGCACACAGTAGGGAACTCCTAGCATTTGTAGTACTCAATAAGTATGTACATAGCAAAATGTCTTTATTGTGTGCTTTGCAGAATATGTGCATACAGTTTGCACGTCCTGTTTTGGGGGGTAGGGTTTGTTTTAAGCAGTGTTTGCCTGGAGAGTGATATGCTTGCTGCTTAATCAAAGGATTAAAGTTTCAAAGAAATCTGTGTCTTCTATTTTTATGTACCTTGTAATGGTCTAATATGTTAGGGCCCTTATACTGTGATTCTCTTCTAAATTCATTTATATTTTTTTAAGAATTAGAAATAAAATTATACAATGGTGTTGATTTCAGTGGGGAATTTCTTTTGCCATGTCTAGTCTCCTGTTTTGTAATGTAGTAATGAACTCTGAACTTCAAGGTTGGCTTAATTTTGTCACTTTAAAAAAAATGTAAAATGTTTGCACACTAAAGTTCGCCAGAGAACGTGTATCCTACATTGTTCAAAGCTAATGTAACTCTACAGCTTTTTGTACAGTTTATTTTAGTTAATAAAGCAAAACGGTACTAAAAAATGACAGATTTTACAAATGCAAGGCATAGTCTGAACAACATGTCTTCTAGGAACAACACTTGCAAAATATGGATGTACAAGAACTATCAGATTTAAATGTTGCACTTTAAATCAGAATGGGTATGAAGTTAAGCAGGTATTTCTGCATTAATAAAACAATCACTAAACATTGCACATCATAGTAAAGTAGTTTAATTTGTCTTACAGTTGGTTGTGAGCAAAAGGAATTATAGTTGCCTCTGTCCTTAGGTTTTTGTCCATCTTTATATTGTTGGTATTTTTCTTAAACCGTACAGTGTTTACTCTGGAAACTTCAACAGTTCATAGAAAACAGTAGCTTATACGTGGGGGAGTTTGTGTCTGAACAGAGCAGAATTGCAGAGTTTAGGGAAGAGTTTAGGATGAAGGGTCCCAGACCTCTGTTGTGCCTCTTGCTAGCAAAAGAAAGGAATGGACTGAAGTGACAGCTGCTGCCGGGCAGAAATGTGGCAAAAACAAAGCCAGGGCTAAGACAAACATCTTGGAGCCGTTTTCTTAGAGGTGCCTTTCAAAAGGCAAAGGAAGCTGTAGAGGAGTCAGCAGCTGTTACAGCTCCAGTGCAAAATGGTGTACTGAAAATAGCGCTGAATACGACTTGGCAGTTTTAATAAATGTGGTGAACCTCCTGCTTTTCCTGAGGTTGAAACAGCTAAACCTCAGAGTCTGCCTTTCTCTCAGCGAGTTAAAAGCAGGCACTGTCGCAACAGACATCTGCTTTAAGATCACAGGAAGCTGTGTGAGATACAAAAGGCAAATATGAACTTTTTCAATGCCACTTGTAGTCTGTTACTGATGAATCGGCCATCAAAAACCTATACTCAGGGAGGGAAGAGAGGCAAAATGTATAGGTAACAGTACCTGGACTATTTAATAAGCAACTGGCCCATTTTTTATAACAGACATCCTTGAAATCAATACTAAAGTAGAACTTTAGCAAAATAAATTCTAATTGCTTTTACTGACATGGAAGTTTTCCCTTGGACTGGTGCAAAAGGAAGCACTGAGATTGAAGGATGGTGATCTCTACTGCTGCTTCAGGGATATGACTATTTCAATGCAAACCAGGACTCCTGTTATGCTCTCTGCATCTTAAGAGTTGTGATTTTAAAAGTAATGCCTGCACCCTGATATTTGATGATCCGTTTGACAGATCTTTGTAACCACCGAGCTCTGTTCTGGGGGTTGTAATGTTCTGCAGGAGGATGATCGTGAGCACAGAAAATGTCCATCTTGGGAACCCGATCCCATCTCCAAAGAAACTCTTCATTTGTGTTGATAAATATTTACTTACAGAAACATAATGCCTGTTGTTGTGATGGACGTTCTTGAGAACTTCCCACACAAGCAGTACCCTGACCAATCAGGACATTCCTAAAAGCTAAGAAGAAAAAAAAAAAAGTCCTAAATTTTTGCAAGAGGGAGTGTTTTCAAAAGGTCTCTGTTGCAGTAACTACCTCTACACCTTTGCTGGACTCCCAGAATCTTTATGCAATATGGACCGACACCCTTGGGAGCGGCAAATCTGAGTGATTTTTGCAAAAGAAGACTCTGAAACCATTTTATTCCTATCATTTTTAGAGTCCATCTTACGGTAACCCAGATAGCGCAGCCTAATGGGGTTTTTTTCTTTTTCATCGGCCTTAGTGCTTCGGTGGCTGGGCCAGCACGGTATTTCCCTTCCAGGCTTGTTTTCCCAGAAGTGGTTTCATGTGAAGCCCAGTGCGGGAGCCGGCGCTGGGGACCTGGGGGTGGGCTGCCTTCGTAAAAAATTCTTCGGTGCGTCCTAATTAGCCAATATTACGGGCACGTGGCAACGGCTAATGTCTTGTGTTCTTCATATAATTAGCGCGGGGTGTGTTTTGCTGTTCCAGGTGTAAATAAGGAAGAAGCGGAGCCGTTCGCCAGTGGGGCAGGGGGGTGCGGGAAGG